AATGCTAAGACTGTAATGAATCGTAACTATAGTTCAGCAGCACATCCTGGGCACTATACTGGCAGTTGTCTGCTTTATTTTTTTGGTGCTAATTAGCACTTCAGGGACTCCGCCCGGCCGGTGATCCGACACCGCTCGGGGTTTACCGTCTCGGGAACGTTCCCTGTGTCTGCTAAGACCCCCGGTGCGAGACCCCCGGTGCGAGGATCGTCTGTCTCCCTAAACCCATAAGTTCCCTTCACCTAGGGCTCTTATTTATCTTTTTTTTTATTTATTTAACCTCAGGGAGAGGTGGAAGTTGCAAGTTTACAAAACCAAGCAGTCATTTAATTGCCCGGGGCGAGAGACTGCTGAAAAATAGGTGAGCGCAAAATGTCGCTCGTTATTCTCAAAGGCAAAGCCTGCCACAGACCGCTGATGTCGTGGTCCCTCTGAGCCTGAAGCTGCCTGCTGAGGTTATTTATACAGCACGGGAGCTGGATGGAGAAGACCTCTCGGGCCGCCTGTTACACCACCTTGCCAATGAACTCCCTGCAGTTTCCAATAAACCGCAATTTCTGGCGCTTTCGGATCTGTCCTCGGATCCGGTGTGCAAACAAAAGCGAGCCCATTCCCAGCCACGCACACATACGTGCGGCCAGCAGCTAATGTCACTCGGGTCTTTGAAGAGATCTCCCAAGTTGTCCCGTGTCTCCAAAGCTTAAATTTCGGGGTGTTCCCGGCCGGAGGAGAGAAACCTCCCCCGAGTGTTTCACACCCCGGCCTACGGCCCTGGCAAAGCCAATTTAATACAGCGATTACCTGAATATTAAGAAAATTACAGCGAAGGTACAGTTAACCCAGTGACTTTGAAGTGTCAAGTAACTATTTTGTAATTGCACTTGTAAATATGTTTGTGCTCGGCTGGTTCGTGCTTAAAAATGCAAAAGTGCACTTGCTACCCGGGAATAACCAAATATCTTTGTCTAAAGTGGCAGCATAAATAGCCGGTCGCTTTGTAACTGTGCTTGATATTAGTGCGTAAGGATCATTTTGCTTCAATTGGGAGGCTCTCATTCACTAGGCAAGAAACCGTTTAGGAGAAAGTAGGTTCCCGTATGAGAGTTAACATCCTTCAAGTGTAAGCCTCAGCCTTGATTACACTTTAGAGCTCTGCAAGAGGTGAGCTTTTCCACACAAATATAATCGGGGGAACTTTCCCTTCAATCAGGCCTCCGGCTCTCCCACATCATCTCAGCCGCCTCTTGCGGCACCAGCTCTCTCCAGGCTGGATACTCCGGGGCGGGCTGGGTGTGAGTCCGCTGGGTCACCGCAGGCAGGGAGGGACGACTTCGGGCTAGAAAGGCGGCTGCTTCTACCTCTTTTCTTTCCAGATCTTTAGATCTTGTCTTTCCCGATCCCCGAAATATATCTGTGTCGTG